GCCATCTCAGCTTCTGGGGCCTGACTTGGCCCTGAGTAGGAGGAGGTGGTGGCCCTAGCCCTTTGTAGGCCTGACACCCCTCCCCGGCGGGGCCATAGGACCAGGACGTGAAAGGAATTTCTGCAGCAGCCTGGTGGGCCTGGCCACCTCAGGATACTGAGAAACAATCAAATCCGACTGAAATAATAAACAGTACAACACTTCAGTCATCAAATATGCAGTCTGGTAACCCAACAGCACCCTGAAGAGCCAGCTCTTTGTCTGGAATGTGACCACTTTGAGGCAGGTTTTGTCTGTTAAGACGTGGAACCTCACCCCAGCCTGTCTGAGTGATGGAGGAGCTGCATTTATTACACAGGAGTTTTTGAGGAACTGGAAGTCACGTGTGAGTGGGGAGGCCATTGAGGACCCCTGTGGCCGTTTACGGGACACCCTGCTGAGAGTGTCCCTGTGTTTATTTCCTGTTGCCACTGTGACAAATGACCACAAACCCGGTAGATTGAAATGACACAGATGTTTTGTCTTACAGCTCAGGAGGTCAGAAGTCGGACATGGGTCTCCCTGGGTTGAAACTAGGGTGTTCGGAGGGCTCCGTTCTTTTTGGGCTCTTGGGGAGAATCTGTTTTCTTGCCTTGTCCAGTTTCTAGAAGCTCTCTGCATTCCTCTGCTTGTGGCCCCCTTCCATCTTCAAAGCCAGCAACGGCCGGTCTAGCCTTTCTCACACTGCATCACTCTGAACTGACTCTCCTGCCCCATTCTTCCACATTCAAGGACTCTTACAGTTACACTGAGCCCACCGAGATCATCCAGGATGATGTCCCTGTCATTATCCTAATTCCGTCTGCAATCGTAATTCCCCTTTACCATGTAACCTAACGTACTCACAGGTGCCAGGGACTAGGACATGGACACTTTTGGGGAGCATTATTCTGCCTACCGTAGTCACTGTCCTGTTCTGTGGGCTGAGGGGGTAAGGAGTAGGAGGAGAGAAGCCCCAGGTGGGCCAGGAAGTCTGCGTCCTTGGCCTGGGGGCAGCCCCCATGTGACTGTGTGGTACCCACCCTCCCTTGGTAACTCCAGCCTCCGCCTCACACCCTCCAGGTGACCTTGGCTTACCTTTCCCACCTCCCCCACGACCACCACCGTTGTCCCGTTACTAACAAGTCTCCCCCAAACCCTGCACTTCTCCTGAGTGTGGGTCAAAACGGTCATTAAATAAAGCAGCGTTTCTCCACCTCGGCACTGTCGACATTTTGGATCATTCTCTGCTGTGGGGAGCTGTCCTTTGCATTGTATGATGTTTAAGCACGTTCCTGGCCTCTGCCTACTAGATGCCAGTAACACCCCACCCAATGTGACAACTAAAAATATCTCTAGACGTTGCCAAATGTCCTCTGGAGGACAAATCACCAGGGATCAAGAACCACTGAAATAAAGCCTTTGCTGTCTGTCTGCCTTACTAAATCGGGCACCTCAAGACAGTGACACCCTGTCTCTTGCCCATCCCCAGGTCCCCAGCACCTGCATAGTGAAAGAATGAATGAATTGAATAATTAATGAATCTGTGTTAATTTCCTTAATAGATAAATCTATAAAAAGTATGCAAACTTTTGTGTATGTGTGTAAAATCAACTCCTGCTTTCTGTAGACTGGCTATCTGAGAGTCACCTGGAGAGTCTTCTAAGTCATATCCCAACGGAGAGTTGGGGTGCAGCCTGGGAGTCTTTATTGTCAAGAACGCTTCATCAGTTCCTCAAAAAGCTGGAATTACCATATGATCCAGCAATTCCGCCCCCAGGTATATACCCAAAAGGATTGAAAGCAGGGACTCAGATGTCCACCGTGGCATTAGTCACAATAGCTAAAAGGTGGAAACAACCCAAATGTCCACCAAGTGTAGTCTATACACGAAAGGGAATATTATTCAGCTTTAAAAATGGAATGAAATCTGATGCACACTACAACATGAATGAACCCTTGGGGACATTATGCTGAGTGAAATAAGCGAGTCCCCAAAGGACACATATAGTATGATTTCACTTATATGAGGTACCCAGAGTAGTCAAATTCATTTCTTTCTAGAGACAGGAAGTAGAATGGGGGTTCCCAGGGTCTGGAGGGAGTGGGGAGTTATTTAAGGGGTACTGAGTTTCAGTTTGGATGATGAAAAGTTCTAGAGATGGATAGTGGTGATGGTTGCACAGCATTGTACCACTAGAATGAATGCCTAAAAATGTTAGAATGGAAAGTTTTATGTTGTGTATATTTTATGACACACACACACAAGTACTTCGTCCTAGCCAGATCTGGGAATGACTTTTCAGTAGTGGGAATCGGGGGGTAGAAAGGGATACGGACTAGATGACTTCTAATGGCCCTTTGAGGCCTCGCAGCCTGAGAATGGCTGAGATGGGAGCACCTGACTTGGCCACCTCAAGTTCTAGGCTGATGGCAGCCCTTCTCCGGGGGTGCACGTAGTAACCCCTCTGGAGGCCAGGCAGGCCGCCTGAATGGAGGCCACATGGCCTGTCCACGAGGGCAGCTGCTGCCCAGCTCCTACTGATTCTTGCCATGTGGGATGTCTGGTTATGGGAGAGAAGTCCTGAATCTGGATTCGTATGTGAAATCTCCTAATGTCTAAATCTTGACAGCTGGTTCAGTGAAGGGGCAAACAAGCCGAGCAACTCTGCAGCCTCGGGTCTGGGGTGGCGTCTTTTCTTGGGGCTTGCAGGCTTGGGCCCCACCTAGAAAGATCCCCGTTCTGGCTCCTCTTAGTGGTGCTGTCTCACCCCTGAGGTCTGATGCCAGCTTTCTCTTTGATCCCTGAGAACTTCCCTTGCTTTCAGTGCCGAAAGGCAGGTTTACAGACAGAAGGGCGAGGGTGAGGGCCTTGGTCTGGATTCCGCTCAGTCTGGGTCTTGGCTCTGCTATTTATGAGCTGTGGGGCTGTAGGTGACTTGCTTTTTTCCTTCCCTATGCCTCGGTTTCCTTATTTGTCAAGTGGGAACAGTAAGAGTTCTGCCTTGTAGAGTTAGAATGGGGACTCCAGGAGAGGGCACGTGCCGGGCTTGGCCAGTGGAAGGGATCTGCAGTGTGTGCATGCGTGTGCACGTGTGTTGGCCCCGGGCTGGAGGAAAGAGGAGTGTGGAGTTGGACAGGCCATCAGCTGGTGAGTTACACAACCCCGGATGTCTGTTTCTTCATCTGGGACGGGGGCCCAGTGATTTCTTCCTCAAAGAGTCATTCTGAGGATTAAACAAGATAATGTTCAAATGGTGCCCGGACACTGTATGTGCCCGGTACACATTCGTTCTGCTCCTCGGAGTCTGAGGCCTTTGCCCTCTGCGGAGACTGAGAGGAGGCAGCTGGGGCTGGTTGGCCAGGTTGAAAACAGGAGGGACAGAGAGCAGAAAAATGGTCCTGGTGTCCTGCCCCTCCTCCATCGGCTCCCTCTCCTACTTCCCAGCCCACAGGGTGAGGGTGCTGGTCCCGCCCTCAGAATCCCATCCAATCACTGATCAGGAACATGGCCTTGGCTTCCAGAGCAGCTTAGATGAGTCAGGCTGTTCCATTCACTGAGACCACTCTGTGCCTGCCCTCAAACACGCTGGGCTGGGGGTGGGTGCAGAGCCGAGCTCCTCCGGGGTCCCTGAGTTTACTGGTTGGAGAGAGGGGCCTTGCTCTGCCCAGACCCTTTCTGAGGGTTCAAGACTGGAGGGGCTGCGTGCCCACCCAGAGCAGGGTGCCAGCCCAGAGTGCAGAGGCCCTGCCCAAGACCCTACGTCTCTTTAACTGAGCTCCAGTCTTCACAGGTGCTTGGGGTGTGGACTGCATGAAGAAGGGTGAAAGGCCCTTAAAATCCTGAGACAATGAGGGGCCTAAAGGGCTATGTGACCTTTGGTGAGTCACTGACAGATGGTATCTAAGGGCCACCCTGGGGTGAGGTGGGTGACAGCATCTCAGTCCTTGGGGTTCCTGGCCACATGACACAGAGGTGCATCCTGGTCCAAGGTCCAAGGCCCAAACGTTGCTGGGCTCAGGGACACCTAGGCCAGAGTCAGCGGGCCTTGCTGTTCGCACACCTGCACGTTCTGACGTCTGTCCACTGTCACACAGATAAGGAGTGGTGGTGTTGACCGGAACGCCCTGTGTGTGCACCTTACTCAGCTCTGTGTGTTCATTGCATATTTGTGTTCATTACATGTGCATATTCATTATGTGTTCATATTCATTGTGTGTGTTCATTAAATGTGTGTCCATTGTGTGTCTGTTGTGTGTGTGTGTCCACTGTGTGCGACCCTAGTGTGAGTGTGTCCATCATGTGTGCACCCTGCAGAGGATGTGAGGTGCGACAGGGCCCTTCAGGAGTCCTTCCAGCCTTGAGAAATGCGTCCTCTGACCCCTGGGGTTTGTGAGGAGGCAGAAGAAAGGAGTACCCAAGACAAGTGGAAACTGAAGTCCTCGTCCCCAACATCTGGCCTCCAGTTGGGGAAGGGGACTCTCCACAGGGGACAAGAGGACAAACTGAGTCAGTGAGGGAGCCACAGTGCCCTCACTGTGGGTCTATTCCACAAGGATTTCCCAAGTCTGAAGGGATTATTAAGTCCAACAGGCCTGGCCCCTGCCATTGGAAGGTTATGGTCTAGTCTGGGGCCGGATACTGGGGCCCTGTGGGGCTGAACAGCGGTGGGAGATACCAAGGAAGAACAGGGCTTCTGGTGTGGGCGCAGGCATGGATGACTGGAGGGGCTAGCCGCTCCTGCTGGTGGGGAGCCCAGGCCCAAGCATGTAAGAGGAGCACGCAGGCCTGATGCTGGCCAGGGGGAGTGTGTGTGCCTGGTGGGGTTTGGAGTGTGTCATGGGCTTGACCTTGAGCCCCCCAGCTCTAGCTGTCTCCCAGCCCCTGAAACTGGTAGACAGGCTCACTGGGATGGGATGCAGCTCTGGAGCCTTGGACAAGACCAACATCAGCCCAACATCTTTTTCCCCCATCTCTGCAGGGGGCGGAGGAAAACGCAAAGGGAAGAGCAAGAAGTGGAAGGAAATCCTGAAGTTCCCTCACATTAGCCAGTGTGAAGACCTCCGAAGGACCATAGGTAAGCCGTCCAGCCTCCAGGGGGCGTGGGGACGGGCTGCGGGGGGAGCGAGGAGCCTGTTAATTGCCAAAAGGTGAGTCAAATACAAATAGGTTGGAGCTCCAGGCTGACATTTTTGCTAATTGACATAATGATGCAACCAACATTTATTGAGTATTTGGTGTGTAGTGGGCAGAATTACCTCTCGATTACCCTTTGAGGCAGGTGTTATTATTTTATTCCACCTTTTAGGTGGGAACCCGAGACACAGAGTGATTCTGTAACTGGCCCAAAGTCACACAGCTTGTGGGAGGGTGATGGAGGTGGGCCAGGCCTTCTACTGAGCCCCCCCTCGTAGCTTCCCACCCTTCCTTCCTGGAGCCGGTGGGTCCTGTCGGGAGCAGCCCCAGCTTTGGGAGCCGAGGGTGGGGTGAGCATCCAGGCTCCCTTTCCTCTTGCCAGGGATGTTGATGCTCACTGAGGAGCCACCCTGCTCAGTGGCACAGCCCAGTCCTCCTTATCCAGCACTCACAAGGTCAGGTGCCTCCAACAGCTGAGGGGGCTTGTCTCCAGAGGGGCCGGCACAGCCAAACAGGCCGAGTGAGGTCCATCCCTGGCCCCACTCAGGATGTGCTGTGGTGAGGAGACCCGGGTGCCTGGCAAGGGCCCCCAGGGCTTGGGGGTGATGAGATGGTCATACTGATGGGGGCCCTGGCCCTTCTCCCCCGTGTGCTCTGGGGTAGGGCACCCCCCTACCCTTGCCCCCGACTGCATGAAGGCTCCTTACCTGCTCCTGACTGTTGGAGGACACAGGGAGTGCTGGATGTAGGATGGCTCTGGTACCCAGAGTTCTGCAGGCCCAGCTGCCCTTGCGACTCCTGCATGGAGCTTTGGATGGACTGCCCTGTGCCCGCCATGGAAGGTGAGGCCGCTCATGGATATTTAGCTTTTCTGAATGGCTTCTCCATGTGGCCTGGCCTCCACCAGTTTGCCTGGCCAACTGGGACTTACATGGCATCCAAGGCCTGCTCAGTTCTGGCCCCGGGGCCCACCCTTCAGATTTTTTGGCTCCACTGTGACAGCAGGTAACAACTGTTTGTTCTGTGCGCCCCACATGCCCAGCGTGGAGTTGGAGCTTGCTTAATTTGCATTTATGAAATGAAAGGAAGCTACCTGCACCCACAAAGGCAGATGTGAGCAGGTGAAGAAGGTAGGGTGCTAAAGGATGGAGAAATATCCTCCAGACCCACCTTCCATCCTTAAAACCTCAGGTCAGAATCCCCATGGTGTTCTCGGGGCTGAGAGTGGAGTTGACCTAAGGGATCAGGGCCTCTGAGTCCAGACAGACTTGGGGTCAAACCCCACCCTCTCTACCAGCCACCTGACAAGTTACGTAGTCGTGCTGAGCCTGTTTTCTCAGCTGGACACAGTGATCGTGAACCCAATCAAATGAAACCATGTGTGAAAAGGGCATCGCTGGAGCTCTCCTCAGGAGTCCAGGACCCACTCCGCTCAGCACTCCAGCTTTCTTTCTAGAATGCCCCACAGCGCCCACCCTACTGGGCCCCTCCTGTGTTGGGGTCTTGGGTACCCATGGCAGGGTGGGAGAGAAGATAGCCTCTTCTCCTGGGGCTGGGAGAGTGTAGGGGAGGGTTTTGCCACTGATAACTTACAGGTGGCCTTCAGAGAGGGGAGGGGAGGGAGAGCCCCCCCTGGAGTCTGGCCATTACCTCCCCGGGAGCGTTTTGTTCTTCATGCTAATTTAGGCTTGAATAGGGCCTAAGGGTGTGGATGGGGTGGGAACCTTGGTTGCCACAGTCTTTGCACACCCTGGGGAGCCAAGCCCTGTTCTGTGTCCTCTTCGACCAGAGTGATCAAGTTTGCTGACTACCAGATGCCTTTCGTGGATGCTGAGCCTCGCCTTTCCTCAGCAGACCCCAGGGAATGGCTCCCACTCATCCTCAGAGCCAAAGGCTGATCCAGGAGAGATTTCTGAGGTGTGGATTTGGAGGAGAGAGCTTGAAATCGGAGGAAAGGACCCTCCGAAGGGGGGATCTGTGCAGAGAGGCAGGGTAACTGCATGAGGCCAGGCCCCCCTGGGAGGGCTCTTGGGAAGCCATTGCTTCTCTGCCTTTGGGTAAACTGCCCGCAGGTGGTGGTGCCAGGAATGCCCTGTGTGGCCCAGCCAGGACCGAAGGCCACTCACTCACAGAAACCTCCTATGATCCCTGAATTTAAATTAGCTCCTAGCTGAGGTCTTCCAGAGCATCCTGTCCCCTTCTGTTGGAGCCCCCTCCTCGGCTATTGTTTGACATCTGTTTACCCCTCAAGTCTGAAAGGCTCTTTGGGGAGGATCTTTTAAATCCACCGCTGTGTACCTGGAGATTCACAGCGGACATTGGTTGCATGAATGAGCGAAAGAGAGAATGAAGATGTGTGTGTAAGTGAACCCTAAGCTTATCCAGTGTTTCAAATAAATGGATGAGTGTTGCAAGGGATATGAAGAGCATTCACATATCTGCCATCCAGATAAAGGAAATCTTAGTATTTTGCTATATTTGATTCATGTGTTTCTTAAAAATATAAAACATAAAAATATGAAATGTAGGACTTGTGGTTCCAGACAGGATGGAGTAGATGCATTGTTCCCTATCCTTCCCACCAAGGACAGTCAAAAGCTCTGAACAGTATACTATAAGACAGACCTAGGAGGATTCTGAAAGGTGGCGAGAAGGCAGACTGGTTGGGGCCCTCGGGATGTGAGGAATGACATACCAGGATGCTCCTGGGTTTTCTTTTCTGCCTCCCTTAAGCCCAGGGACTGGATGCTGGAGAAACTCAACCTGGAAATGCCAATGGGTGCAGACAAAAAAGGACTCCCCTTCCCCCAAAAAAGCCTGTTCTCTCTTGCCAAAGGCTGGGGAAAGGGGCAGCTGGCCGAGCTGGGAAGTGGTTGGTACAGCTGGACACTCCAGAAATGTCACAGTGCTACTGCCCTTCGCACCAGCTACGTGGGTGCTCCCTGGATGCCTTCTTACTTGACCTGGTTCTAGGTTCAAAGACACTGTGCATCCTTCCTCTCCAGGCCTTGCCTCTCTGATACACAGAAGCTGATCCTTTGAGGTGAACAAGCCCTGCTGAGGCATGATGCCCCCAGACTCCCAGTACCCCTCACTCTAGCCCTGCGCCCTATGAGGCTTCCAGGCGTTGCCCCAGAAGTACCACAGATGCCCCTCACCTTCTAGTTGGCCTGGCCCCACCCTCTTCACTTCCGGTTTGGGAGACTCAGGAGCATAGGATTCGCCTCCGAGCTTTTCTCTGTCCAAGGACCCCACCCCAAGGGCCCCATCCCCATCTGTCCCTCTGTATCTGTAAACAGATCTCTTGGCAGGGCCCACCCCCCTGGGAGGGTGTGAGAAACGTGCGTGCTGGCGTGTGAAAATGAATTCTTCTGTTCTCCTGGAGGGCATTGAAAAGACTCTGTGTGTGCGAGGGCAGCGTGAAGAGAGGCCCGGGGAAAACAGGAAGGCCGCCATAAACCAGGGGGCTGCCACTCGGGCGACGGCCCAGGGCTCGGGCCCTCCCGCCTGTTTACAGTCCGTCGCCCGGTGTTTGCCCGGCCGCTGCTGGGGTCCTGCTGGAAGGCTTTCTAAAATAAAAACCTCATTTCTTTTCTAGACCAATACACAAACCAAACAGTGGCAAATGCTGCATTTATTTTTCTTGTGGACACATGAGCTCACTTTCTGAAGCTCTTGGGGAAGATGTCCCGGGGCAGGCTTCAGGCCAAGGTGACAGGGTCCCTTTGGGCCCAGAGGGCAGCATGGTGGGTGCAGTGGGAAGGATGGAGCCCACCAGGCCCCGGGGGCGCTGCCCCCTCTGGATTGCCCAGAACAGTAGTCAGTTGAAGCCTCGCCCTCTGTTGCCCTCAGCACTGCCCTGTACAACCACAGGCCATTTCCTCCCAGCAGCCAGGGGACTTTGAAAAATGAAAACTGCGCCCTGTGAATCCCCTGCGAAACCACTGCAATGGTTCTCCATCCTGCCTGGAATAAAACCCAAACTCCTTACCATGGCTCACGAACACTTGGGCCATTAGGTGAAGCCCAGGGACCCCCTTTCAGAATAATGCTTTACACATATAAAATAAAATACCTAGGGTTACAAAGGAAACCAATTCTTTTCAGATACAGTTATTACATACTTAAAAAATGTATGAGATAGGGCCGGCCCCGTGGCCGAGTGGTTAAGTTCACGCGCTCCGCTGCAGGCGGCCCAGTTTTTCATCGGTTTGAATCCTGGGCGCGGACATGGCACTGCTCATCCAGCCACGCTGAGGTGGCGTCCCACATGCCACAACTAGAAGGACCCACAACTAATAATATACAACTATGTACTGGGGGGCTTTAGGGGAAAAAAAAAGGAAAAAATAAAATCTTTAAAAAAAATGTATGAGATAAGACATATATGTGCTTCTTTGTTAATACTTTAAATAATAAGGTCTGGCAGCTAGTCTAATAGTTACTGTAATTTTGAATTTGCAATGAGCATACATGATATTTCCAGATATCTGCCACAGCGGTGATATGAATGGCTCTGTGATCTCTGTCATTGATGAGTCCCAGCCTCTGCTAACATTTCTGTGGGTTGTTCTCCGCATTTGTGGCTTCAGGAAGTGCTCATTTTCAGTTAGAGGTTGGTGAAAAGAGAGACTACACTTTTCTCCATCCGAGTCCATGGACCCCCACATCCTATCCAGGGCAATGCCCTTCCTACTCTGCCCTACGTGAGTCGACCCTCACCTTTGTCTCAGATCAGCTCCCTCCTCCTCCATTCACAAGCTGCACTGGTCGCTTTTTTGTCCTTCGAATACCCCAAGCTTGTCTCCAGCCTGGAGCCTTTGCACCTGCTGTTCCCTCTACCTGGAACGCTCTTCCCCACATTTTTTCCAGGGGGCCTTTAAGTCTCAGCTCAGATACTTCCTCCATAGAGAAGCCTTCCCAGCCAGTCTCAGGAAAGAA